CATCTGCATAGCAATGAATGCTACGGGTTTGCAACATATCATTGATATGCAGAAGAAACAGCGTTGGCGATAGCACGCAGCCCTGTGGAACACCAGCATTAATAAGCTTGCAATCGGAGCTTGCACCGTCTACAACGACCTTGATGCTCCGATCTGCAAGAAAACTGGTGATCCAATCGCACAATTTCTCGGGAAGCCCATAGGAAGGGAGCTTCGAAAGAAGCGCTTTGTGCCAAACCCGATCGAAGGCCTTCGCAATGTCCAAACTAACGGCCAATGCCTCCCCCTTGGACTCTACTGCCTCCGCCCATCTGTGAGTTAGGTAGACCAGAAGATCACCAGCTGACCTACCACGGCGAAAACCGTATTGGCGGTCACTAATCAGCTGGTGATCCTCAAGGTACCTCATGAGCTGGCAGTTTACAATGGACTCCATTGTTTTGGAGAACAAGGAGGTGATGGCGATAGGCCGGTAGTTGGACGGGTCTGAGCGGTCGCCTTTTTTAGGGATCGGGTGGACGAAAGCCGTCTTCCATGATTTTGGGACTACGCCTAGGGAGTAGGAGTACCGGAAAAGACGCGTTAAAACCGGTGCCAACTCTGGAGCACACGTCCTCAGCACAATTGGGGGATTCCATCAGGCCCACTCGACTTATGGATGTCCAGGGAGAGGAGTGCTTTGCGAACCGAGCGCTGAGTGAAGTGCACTTCCGGCATGGAGCACTCACACCGCGGGATGGTCGGCGGCGTACTCCCCCCGTCATCGAGAGTCGAGTTAGACGCAAAGAAAGAGCCTAGAAGATCGGCTTTCTCCTTTGCGGTGTGGGCCAGTGAGTCGTCCTCCCTGTGCAGAGATGGAAGAGATGGCTGACAGAAATTCCCCTGGACAGCCTTGGCGAGAGACCAGAATGCACGGGTTCCAGAAGGAAGACGAACTAGTCTCTCGCCAATTCTGCCTATGTGCTCTGACTTTGCCTTGGCAATGACTCTTTTGAAGGACCTAGAGGCGGAATTATACTTCTTTTTTAGAGCGCTGGTGTTTACATCCCTGGACGCTGATGCGTCAGCCCAGGCTTGGTAGCACTCCTGCTTATAGCATGATGCTATTTTACAGGAGCGACCAAACCATGGCTGAGATTTGCCTCCAATGGGCACCACAGAGGAAGGAATAAAAAGTTCCATACCCTGAAGTACCACATCGGCGACAGAATCCGCAACAACGTTGGGATCATCCGGCGAGAAGCAAACCCGCCCCCAAGGGTAGGATGCAAAGAAAGACCGCATCCCATCCCAATCAGCTGACCTATAGTGCCAAACACGGCGGCAGCCTGCAGAATGCAACCGCGATTTCAGCGTGAGTGGCACCACACTCCGGACAAGACAATGATCCGAGGAGCCTAAAGGGGCGTCGACGGAAATCTGATATCCGTCCGGGTGAGAGGTCAGCAGAAGATCCAACAGGGAAGGTGCATGATCCTCCACATCTGGAATCCGCGTAGGCGAAGTAACCAGTTGTGTCAGACCATATGCCAAGGCAAAATCACGAACAGATCTCCCCGCATGATCGGTTAAACGTGAACCGAGCCATTCGGCGTGATGGGCGTTGAAGTCGCCGAGGATCACGATCTCTGCGGAGGGGATCTGCTGTAGCAACGAATCTGCAGCCATTTGGACGTGGTCGAAGAGTCGGTCTGTTTCGGCATTACCGCTATGGGACCTATAGAGGCACCCGTAGACGCGCGGATGGTCGTCGCTGTCTACGCGTAGCCAAAGGATGGACAGGTCCGAACCTTCAAGTCTGCCGAGGCGTCGAGAACAGATGTCCTCTCTGACGTAAACGCAAACTCCAGCCCGAGGCACAAAGGAGTGTTCCAGTTTGTACCCCGGGTAGGAGAGATACGAGACATCAGCCGGAGAGGACACCTGCGTCTCGGTCAGAAAGAGCAGAGCCGGCCTCGCCGTCTCGAGATGGTAGTGGACGGCGTTTAGGTTAGAGTGAAGTCCCCTGATATTGCAGAAATTCACGGACAGCGTGGCAGGGGTCGCCTTGGTCTTGTTGCTCCGTTTGCCCCGAGCAGTTTTAGTCTTGAGCGGAATATTGCCCCCCCCCCCAGAATACGCGGGGCAGCCTGAGCACCCACGCTCAGAAGTGGAGAAACATGGTCGTGGATGCTCAGCGAGGGATTCTCCAGGGGTGCTGGTACCCTCCTGGGGTAGTCTATCATTTAATTCCGCTACCATGTTGATGGGGGGGGGGATTTGGGCCTCCGGCCACCTGCACTCACCAGACGAAACGCGGAAGCAGAGCTTCCACTTCACGCCGGTATTCTGTGAGGTCGTGGTACCACCCCGGTTTGAGCCGGCCCATACGTGCGACAGCAAAGCTGCCGCGTGGCTCTACCACTGTAATAAAGTTTAAGTGTTAACAAGTTTAAGTGATGGAAATATTATTTAGAAACTGAATCAAATTTTATATTTAGAAAAATATATAAAGCATAGCAATAACTCTAAAAAGTAGTGAATAGTAGACATTTACCGAATATTCGTATTCGGCGAATACTAATCACGAATATTTAATAACTAATATTTTCGTCCGCAACTCTAATTACTGGCAGACTTTGAAAACGCGAGTCGTCGGCGCGTAAAAATACGAAGTGTGGTTAACGACGGCTACACAAGGGCAGGGAAGTTATTAGTTATTACTCATTTTAACACTAAAACAACTGAAAGATTCTCAACAAGCCAAAAATATACCGAAACATGTTTTGTTTCAAGATGTTGAAACTGGATGGGACTCAACATATCAATTGTTGAAGTGATTACATGAACAACGCATAGCGATTCAAGATGTTTTACCATCTCAACCAAATTGAAATGTCATGAAATCATAGCAAGGCAATGCTCATAAGAGCAAAATTATTGATATCTATATATATTCTGGTCAATTTTGAAGAAGCTACTAAAGCGCTATGCAAAGAATCAACGACATTATCTCAAGCAATCCCAATAATACTAAGTCTTAAATCTTGCCTCTGATCCATTGGCCTTTATTTGTCGAGATGATGTCCATTTTCCAAGGCTGAAAAAACTACCCAAAATATTTTTCACTGAAACCATGTACAGTCGACTCGGAAAGGCTTTTTACAACGGCTAGGGACATCCAGACTGAAAAAATAAATCCCCTAAAACCAGAAAATCTACAAATTTTATATTTTTTTTTAAATAAAAATTTGCCTGATGTAAATTTTAATTATTAGAACAATAGAAAATCATTAAATAAATTAGTTTTTCATTACCATAGCGAAATATTCGTATTCGTTGAATAGTAGGTTTGATATTCGTATTCGTAAAAGTAGTATTCGTTGCATCACTACTAAAAAGGCAATTATAAAAATATTATTTGTCTCGTTTTCTTTTTATGTTATATATAAAAATAGCTAATGTGTGAAGTAAAGTAATTATTGATACCAGAAGTACATCAATTTAATACGTTTTATACGTAAAAAAAACAATAAAGGGTATGTTCCGAAATACAACGCAGTGTACTGTCCAATGCAAATGACGTCATGAATCGACGCTACACTGGTGATTCGTTCCAAAACATTGGCCAGTATATGACGTCATATTTTTGCGCCATTTGGAAAAGTGTTGGCGAATATTTTGTTATTTTGTGCTCCAAAAATCATTATATCCTCCTAATGGATATACCATCAATTATTCTATAATTTTTTGTATATGTATAAATAGAAACAAATTCTGGCATGCTTCATTCGGCAAACACACAATTAAAAATTGTTTTATTATGGCCTGATATCCGACACAATATGGCGGCGGCACGCTAGTTCAATAGTGTCAAATGATACGTCATTTGCATTGGACAGTACACTGCGTTGTATTTCGGAACATACCCAAAAAGTCTTTACGACGGTGTGAACAAACATGTCAGTAAAAAATTTGGAATCGCACAAGGAAACCTTACATGACTACAAAATTAATAGATAGACATTTTAAATAAAATAAATAGTTATGTTCTTTATGTTTTTATTTAAATAAAAACAGGTACATAAGCTGAAACCCAAAAGACTAAACTAGTTTTCAACTTCGAAGGTGTCAGAGACGCCTGTGAACTGCCTAATGACACCGATAATACTTCTAGAGGCGCCGTAGTAGACGATGCGATGCGGTGTGTTCCTCATAGCGTTATTTGGTATACGCCATTCGAACCGCGCTTGACTCGTCCCGAGTAACGTTGACACCCGCTTCCAGTGGAACCTGTGACAGTAGATATATTATGTTCGCCGTTCGGATTTTTTTAATTATGGCAGTACCATTAATATTTAACCATAGTACAAAGTTTTTAATATGATCGTATGTTTTAAAGCACGTAAGATATAATATAACGTCATTGTATGACGTAAACAAGGTACCGTCGAAGGTGCGAGGCGTAAGGTCAAGTTCTACGATTTTCAAGGCGCTGACAAGAGTGACGATAAGGCAAATCAGAAGAAGTTTATCCAACATTACATTTTACGGCCTGATGATGATTTCTATGATATGATTATCTATTTCATCTCCCTCTGTCGCCTCTGAAGACACCCATAGTTTGATATGATTTAATTTATCATCATCACCATCATTAAAGCCATTTACAAGTTCACCACTGAGCATAGGCCTACCCCAAAGCATGCCACAAATCATGGTCCTGATTTAATGACCGTTATGGCCTACAAAAGCCCACTGTTGAACATAGAATACCCCCATGGGGTGATATTTGCCATAGTTGCCACGCTAGGCAAGTGGATTGGCAACCTCAGTTTTTTACTTTAGTAAGATCATGATCTTATTTTCGTGATTTAATCAGTTAACGTTAATTTTAATGGAATTTAGTAACAGATTCTCATGCGATTCCCATCGATCTGCTGGTGAAGGGTTACAAAACCAGTATAATTCCAGGCTGTGAGTTAAGAGTATAAAAAATATGTTAATTCTATAAGAAACATTTACTTAGTCTCCCAATCGGCGTCAGTGGCGACGGTTCTCCACTGACTTCCATCTAATCTTTCCACTACAGCGTGAGATGATTCTTGACGGATATCGTTACGAGGATTGGCGGCAACCTGCATATGGTTGAACAGAATCATAAAAATTGTAGTAGCAATTTTTTTATATTCATACATATAAGACAAATACATTCTGCTTGTGGCAGAGCCACGCTGCAGCTCTATTGTGGTTGTAGCACTCGGCCTGGGAAGGACCACGCTCTCAGAGTACCAGCGTAAAATAGCTGCTCAGTGTTGCTGTGTTTCGTATAATGAGCGTAGAGAACCGGGTACTCTTTATATTGGAAATGAAGCATCCCATCTTAGTAATCAAGGGTGATAACGCACCTGCATTTTTATTATTAACTGAAGATAGATGAAGATGTCTACAGGATACAGCACCCACTTGCCATCGGGTGGACTGTATGATTGTTTGTCACCCATATTCTAAAAAAACATTTTCTGTCCAGGTCTGCTTCCAGGTTAGGTAGTCTGTTTTATAATAATAATAATAATGGTAATTTTCTCAAATACAAAAGGCGGTGCTCCTCGATACCACCCACATCGTCCGCAATCATTTCCTTTTATATATTTATTCAGCCCAACCAGACGAGAATACACTATTAATACCCCATAATAAAAATTTAAAGTTAGATGTAAGTGTCCATGGGCCGCAATAGCCACTTAACATCAGGTGGACTAGCAGTATGCTGGTCACTTCCATATTATAGAAAACGAGGCTTTTTTTGTCCACACGTGTGTAGGTCTCTTAGTTTTAAGTTGATTTCGTGTGCTGCGATACAATCAGGTGAACTTACCTCCATTGATAAGATATAAAGACATTTATTCCAACACTTACATTTGCACACATGATAATTTACAATTAAAGAAAAAAGTACGTTCATTATATGTGCATGCAAACACATTAAAATAAAAATCGTGTGCTGTAATGAAGTAGTGGAAGGGACCGTCTCAGCATAAGCCGCGAGATTGCAGCGTTGATTTTCAGCCGGCTCCGAACAAGTTCATACGGTCAACTATATGCGAGCGAGTAAATTAAAGGTATAAACTAAATTTATGTTTAGAAATGTTACACTATATAAACAGGTAATGTACAAAAATATACATATTCAATTATTTATACTTTCCTTCTGTTCGTTTAATAAAATTAGCTGCCTCCACGATATAGAAAATTCTATGGATGTAATGTTTTTAAAACAAAAAAGATGTGCGTGCGTGCGTGCGTGCGTGAGTGCGTGCATGCGTGCGTGCGTGCGTGCGTGCGTGCGTGCGTGCGTGCGTGCGTGCATGCGTGTGTGTGTATGTGTGAAAACAACATTTATATAAAATACTTACAAAAGTAGCACTGACTACATCGCCCACTCTGACCTTCGAAGGCGGCTGCTCGAGAACCGCCCCGAAGTGGCGGCCGATTGGAGTGGCATCCAGGACCACGGGCGATACGAAGGAGATCGTGTTAGATCTGTGGTCCTCCGGTTCTGGACCCGGATCCACATCGCCACCCTATACCGTGAAACTTTACCATATCATCTAATCCCGTCGGCTCGACCGAGGTAGGACCATACTCTCATTGAATACCAGTGTAAAATAGCAGTTTAGTAAACAGAGTTATTCTTTAGTAATGTGTGTATAGATAAGAGGAATTCCATCTTAGTCCCCAGGAGAGACAACGCAACTGCATTTTGATTCTTAATCGAGGATCGATGTAGATGTCACACATCCACTTACCATCAGGTGGGCTGTGTGCTCGCATCACACCTTTATTCTAAAAAAAAAATCGTGTACTTTTGAAGTCCGCCGATTTATATTGGAACAACTAAACACATAATACTTCGCTCCCCAGTTTCAACAAACACGAGGAATCACGTGCCAAGTCACAGCTTACTTTATTTTATTTTTGCTTAGGATACCCGTTTATTCCCGTATTGAGGAAACCCATTTTGAAACAGTATAAGGTTAAATAACATGTTGACGTTTGACGATATTTGAATTTATTACGTCGACAATCGTAATATAAAAAGTTTTCACTTCATTTAAGTAATAAATCAATTGTATTTTTATCATACCTTGATCGAAAGTTCGTATTTCGACCTTATTTTCAGGGACGAATTATTTATTAATTTAGTACGCATGCGTTAAATTTCTAGTTTAGGCTGGTTTTATCGTTACGCGTTCCGGCAGCGCTGTTGGTGCGCGCGCGTTCGGATATGTATCGGCGTAGTAGTTGCGTTTCAAAGTCGCGCGCTTGAGCAGCGCCGTTCGGTAAACGCGCGTTGTTCACCGGCGCTGCCGAAGCGCGCGCCGCTCTGGCGCCTCTACATCCAGTATGCGTTTTAGTGTGACGCCGTTGAGACGCGCCGTTAGGTACTGTGGTGTACAAAATTACATCGATACGAGACGAGTAATTGAGGAAGTGCGATTTAGAAGATGTTTATGGGACACAAAAAGGATCGTCGTAAAGAAAACTCTAACTTGCAAAGTAATTCGTCGAAACTGCTTGCTGATAGGCGAAAATATTTATAACATTTATAATTATTTCCTCGTTAATCGGAGAAAGATGTTACGTGTTCGCCTCTCAGTAACCTTGTAGCGTTATAAGGATCAATTACTCTTCTTCTAAATCGGTGTTGCCTTTTCCATAAAATGTAAATAGCCCGTACTCTAACCGCATTAACGTGAGACATTTTGTACACGACTGTCTCACGGCAGCGGAACGCGCGGTAAAAATCTCGTTTTATAGTGCACCGCTGTTCAAGCGCGCGCTGTTAACAGCACGCTGCCCAGCGGCGCGTCTAGCGGCGTGACGATAAAACCACCCATAGTTCTTCCATTTCACGATGGAGGTTTGACTGGCTGTTGTTAGCCGTGCACATACACATTGTGTTAGTGTGTGTAGGACTCGGGAACGGTTAGTCACTTTGAGCAATACTTTGAGTAGCTCAGTCACGATCACTACTACAATCAAGGCGAAACCTTCATCGTGAAATAGAATAACTATACGCATACGTCAAATTTCTAGCTCTATAGTTTTAAAGGTCAAGGATATATGTCGTGATCGTAGACAGAGAAACCTATAGACTAATGATTAGCGTGGCCTCGAGTGAGAAAGGACGATAACTTAGTTTTAGGTTATACAATAATCTTACATATTTAGATAAAATTTTTAATTGTTCTAAGAACTGAACTGAACAAGATTCACAAAACACTTTTTGTCACTTAAACCAACTTGTAAACGCCTTAGATCGCTACGAACTGTCAAAGTTGTGTAGCAAAGTGTAGTTTGCTAAACAAAAAAACCGGCACGGAGAAAGGGACAAACAATCACACCGCTCTATCTCATTTCTATGCATGCGTATCATTTCTACGTATGCATAAATCTATCTTTTTCGTGTGCGAATGCGAAAGAAGGGGTCAATTTGTCTATAAGTTTCTCTGTCTACGGTCGTGATACTTTTAAATAATAGTACGGGGGAAAAGTATGACATCGCAACCCACGTTCTTATCAATAGCACGCGGATTGCATGTCATACTGTCTTCCCTAGTGGCATAATATACGCCACGATGCGGGTTTATTGTGGCTGCAACACCAATTGGTCGGCTCAACTAGTGCAGAAACTCTCACAGAATATCATCGTAAAAACCTACACTATACTTCTCTTAGTCTTTATGGTGACAAAAATATCTAAATTTTGATCCTTAATCAGGCATAGCTGTGTGATCCACAACATCCATAAGGTTAACTGTAAATGTGGGTCTACGATAGACGAGCGTGAGCGGAGCATGTGCCGAGCACAAATTCGTTTAGTGTGTACCGACTTACAAGCCGTTTCGAGCGTTTGGTTCGTGCTCGACTGTGCTCCGCCTTTTGTCGGTTTTTTGACGAACACAAAGGGATTTGCATCGCATGCATCGATTTGCATGTTGTAGGCTCGTTGTACGTCCACATTTGAAACCCCGAGTAGAGCAGCTCAGCTCGTGCTCGACTCCTCTAGCGTAGACCCACCCTAAGATTGGTTGTCAACCTTAATTGTATAATAATAATAATGTCCTCCAGACCAAATTTCGGCCACGGCGACTTGCCTCAATGGAGACTAGCCATCGGCGCAGGACAGGATTATAGTGCCCAAGTGTATGCGCAAGCACAGGTGCACTCTCTATTCCCTCACTCTCATAATCCGATGGGACGGTAAACTGACACGACCGGAGAGAGATCAGGCGCAGGACCAATGGCTTTACGTGCTTTCCCAGGCACGGAGTTGAGACACCGCAAACTTCCTGACTCCGGGTAACTACTAAGAATTTCTTGACGGAAAAAGTCAATAACTAATTTTTTAGCCTGACCCGGGGTTCGAACCTCATGATCAGCAGCGCACTACTACAACCACTAGACCAACGAGGCAGTCAAGTTTTAATTGTATAAGCAACTGTAAAAGGAATGTTAAAAACTTATATCTATTTGAAACTCACCTTTATAGCAACGGAAATGAACTCGGCGAATTTGTTGAGAAATATTTCGAGCGTGTGGGGCCCATAAATTGTGGAAGCGGCTTCATATCTTTGGACCTGCGGGTTATTTTCAGAATATAGAGTTTTATATTATATTATATCATTATCTTATCTTCATTTTATATTATATTATATTCATTCATTATCTAGAATTTTATATTATATTATTCATTCTACTGGACATATATATAGCCTAGATCCCTCCTGAAACTGCTCTCTATCCGTTCATAAAGTTTCTTCACAATCGGTCCAGCCATTTCGAAGACTATACAATCCCCCCCCTCCCCCCTAGCTTAATGGAAGTTATTTTAGTACTACAGACAGCCACTTCAATCATATTTATATGTTACGAGTATAATAACCTCTGTTGTTCTGCCCAGGACAAAATTATTTTCCGATCCAGTGATAAATTAGACGTAAGAATGAATTTCAATAAGTATTATTTATAATCTGTACAGATTTCCTAAAAGGAGGCTGGGTACTATCACCTGTAATTAATAAAATTCAAACTAAGTCCAAGCATACCACTGCAAAACTTCAAGACGCAGTTAGTTCATTCGGCGTAGATCGAACCATAAATAATAATTAAAAAGCTGAAGGTACTCCGGGTTAACATTGACATCGGGACGTTAGTCACCTCATTCCCTTGTGACCATGGGTGCTGGAAAGCACCCGAAACGTCGGGAATCAAAAATAATTTAAAATTAAACGCGATAAAATACGTAAAATTAGTTTTAATCAATGTGTAGTGTGTTAAGAAATCATTACCTGGTATTCTTCAAAAGTGCTGATGTAGTGTATATATTCATTGGTCAATCCGGAGACTTGAACCCTGGGCTGAAGTCCGTGCTGCCGCATGACATTGGACACTACGTCCTTCACCCTCCTGCCGGCCATCGTGGTAGGCTCTCCCGGGAGACCGGCCACAACGAACCCGCCCAGCCAGATTAGAGTCGCCGACACTATTCTCGGGTGCCATGGGACAGGGAAATTTGCCTTGAAATAAAATGACTGTTTGAAATACCGTTACAGCGTTTAAAGTCCACTGCTCTCCACTGGTCCTCCTCCATAGATTGCCTCAAAAGGGAGGATTTTGTTATAGTTGCCATGCTTGGCACGCGGGTTGGCAACCTAATTTTATTATGAAGACACTGCTGCCTATCTATGATTTGTGTCCCTCTGTGACCTCTTGCAATGGGATTATATGGGGTAGTGGGTATTCTTCCACCGCTACACTACACAGTTAAGATATTTAAGAATATTGTTATTTTTAACTTTTTCAACCTGTTATATAACACGGCAGGACACATTTTTGAGAGTGGCCACGTTACTACAAGGTATGTTAATGGTCATTACGTCTTAGAAATATTTCATATTTTTATTTTCGTCTAGCACAGGCTTCACCTGGGTAGAATCTGTTAATTTATTTATTGTTAAGATAAGATAAACATGATATTATAGTAAATATTTAAGTTGATTTTAGTATGGTTTAGTGTAGTTAGTTTTTATAAAGTTGGTTTTTGAAGTATTCGCAATTATTACCAAAGTTTGTTTGCTATTTTTTCTTAATATAATATTTATAGTATAAGACCTTTTTTTCTCTGTCCTTCTCGTAGTTTTGGTTTCAGGGCAGCAAAGCTTAAGTGACTATATTATCGTCACGTACCTTACTATTTTCCGGCGTGAAGAGGAGAACCAGTCTAATTTTTGACTGTGAGACATTTTGACTTATTATCTTTAGTTGATTACAGGTGAACTTGAGCTGCAGTAGCCATTTATGTGGCTGTGGGTGGACTACGAGCTCCTTTATAACTTCTGTTTTACTTTAAAAATAAAACTTGACTAAGCTCGTCTCTTGGAAATCACAATTAAAATATTATTTACATCGTATACATACCCTGCCCGTAGCCAAAAGAATCGGTTTTGGTGCATGGCATTTCACGTCCTCTTCAGTGGGCCCCATTACCAAGCCTACTATCGCGTCCAATACGGGAATACCTGTTAAAGTACCCTATAAAAAGAAGATATTATTAAGAACAAGCCAGGGAATATTTTGTTTTACCAGAAAGGCACTTTGGCTTTACCGATCTAAGACTGATTTGTGTGAGACAAAGCTCACACAAAATCAGTATTAGATTGTCGAAAACAACGTTCGCAGTTTACAAAATAAGGAACTAGTCTACTGGCCCGCTCGTAGGCGACTAAAAGACTTACGGAGAACTGACCGCAGCTCAGTGCGCTATGTTTTAAAGTCGCAGAGCCCGTCTAGTGGTATACATAGAAGTCTTTGCTTTGGAACTATTTCTTTTTATTTAAATTTACTCCATATGACCGCATCCTCTTATTATTCCATCTCTGTGGAATAATTTACCACCGTCGATTTTTCCAAACCGATAAGAACTGGGGACCTTCAAGAAAAGAGCTTACTCCTTTCTAAAGGGCCGGCAATTACCTGCAACTCCCCTGCCTGGGCTGCGGTAGTCACTTAACATCAGGTGAACCCCTCTAATATAAAAAACTAACATTTATCATAAAACATTAAACCCGTTGATAATCAACTGATAGAACTAGATAATTACTATTCTCTTTGGATTGAACTAACTTGATATAGTCTGTATTACATTAGTAAATAAAACTTAATACTCAGAAGGGCTATAGAACCCAGAGCCGTAAAGTCAGTTAATAATAAAACTTAATAACTTTTAATGCGATAAAATCCATAGTATTACTTTTGTTAAATAAGTAGGTAGGTTTCTCGTAAATATAAGAAATCATTACCTGTGTTATATTAAGTATATTAGCGCCGTCGATAGTCCCAGATGCAAAACTATAGCCCATAGCAGCCATACAGCCTTTGACGGGTTCGTTCTGAATTTTAAAATATGACACATTATTTCATAAATAAATAGTATTGTTCATCCGCCTTGCAAAACCTGCAGACTTTGTCCGCCTTGTGTGTATCAATTTTCATGGCGATAGGTGAACAGTACAGAGGTTGATGTCATGCAGCGCCATCTAGTGTAGTTACAACAAAGTGGATAGCTTGACAACCTTTTCTATTAAAAAAACAACATGTAGGTATGTGCCAGCTGTGATCGGTCAAATGGTGTTAGTCTCTATTAATCTCGAACAGAATATTCACCAACTCTTATATAAATGATCACAGATTTATTTATTTATTTTATTTATACTTTCATGCACAAAGTAGTACATATGGTGGACTTAATGCCATAGGGCATTCTCTCCCAAATTACATAATTAAAACTGAAATGCCACTTTTTGTTCTTCCGCAGTTACATAAAATATGTAGGTACCTACTTGTAATTCATTCTTATACCGTTCCAGTGACATATAAAATAAGTTAATAAGCAATTTATTAATATCGCGACCTTATAAACTCATCTCTCAATGCCTTAAAACAAACATTAATTGCAAATGAATTTGCATTTTTCTTTTTTATTGATATTCTTATTCTGTTAATGCTTCTGTACTTAGTCTTTTTGTTATGTAAATAGTCACTATGTAGAGCCATCATGTCACTTTCTTTTAAAATGTGATTACATTTTCGGCACTGTAGGTCAATTTCTAACACATAAGTTGTTTGTATTTTATTTTCGTTTGTTGACAAAATAAATAAAAAATAAAAGCGGTCTAGGTGCGACCCAAAAGGTCCACACGACTAACTTCCCAGTGGAAACAATAAAAAATATCATATGTTTTAATATTTTATACAATTTTTCATTCGGCACAAAAAACGCCTTGACCGATTTTGCTCAAAATTTAATGAGGTCTAAGCTATATAACTATGCGTTAAATGAAACGTGGTCCCACGTTCAATATCGTGTCAATATCACTCTTTGTTCTTGAGATACACGAGGCACACACACACACGGACATCCTCTTAAAAACCATTAGTGACGTGACGGAAGTGTCATATCGGAAGCAGAAACGGAAACAGATGTTAAAAATATTTTTTGCAGAAACGGAAACAGAAACGGATGCGGAAACGGAAATACTACTTATTAAAAAAATTACAAATAAAACCTTTAATTAACATTCAAAATTAAGTAGCGGCATGTTATATTTTATGAAAAGTAGTTCGGCTGCTTTCACTTAACAATCTGTTCAAGTGTTATTCATATATATAAGTCCAGCTCCGCGAAATAATTGCTGACTGGCGATGTTGCGTATATACCAAAGCTAAATTGGCACTAAAATATGGGCAGACCCTTTAAAGAGCCGCATTTACGTTAAGCGAGTAGGTAACTTAGTACAACCCTAGCACGAAATTACGACGTAAACGAACTTTGAATCCAAAATACTCATTAAAGTGTCTTTAAAAATAATTAATATATACTACAAGTAAAAAATAAATAATATAAACTTCACGTAAAAAATAATTAATATAAACTTTATGACATAACTGCTGCCTAATTAATTTTACAAATCTTCGGTGTAACAAAGGCATTTAGTAAAAACTAGTTTTAACTGGAGGAAACACGTTTTAACTAAAAATGGGGTTTAACTATAAAATGGTAATACATTTTGTAAATAAATGGGTATGCAATTGACCAATTGAAAAACCTTGACTGACCATTTGTTTTTTTTAGTTTGCGATGAAAGTTTTACAGTTTCAACTAACGTTTCAAACTGGAAACTCTTCGGTATACACATCGCTTTAAGATGGCTCTTTAAAGCGGTAGTTGTGCGTTCTTTTCGCGAGTATATTTTGTCACAAAACTTACATCATCAATCTCAAAATAGTAGTTCCAAACAGGACTCTTTTTTGGCTTCATGATTGCACTTAAATTACACAAACGACTCAAATTACTAATTAACTAAAAAAAACTATAACAGAAAATCTTACGCACTTACACTCATGTCACGCCATATAATAAAGTTAAAAAAGTATGTAAGCAAACCAGTTGGTACCAGTGCCGAAAGCACGTGCCCAGCTCACTTGTGATTGGCTGAAATGATCCCCCCCTCCTCCGCCCCTCCTCTACTTAGGTGGCTGCGTCACTGAGTTCCGTTCAAACTTCCGTTATAAAACTTGCGGAAACGGAAGCAGAAACGGGTGTCAAAAACCATGCGGAACTTCCGCAGTTGCGGAAACGAAACAGAGTTCTGTTGCATCACTAAAAACCATACTATTCGACTCTAAACACCTTGAAACGTGGAGATATGTTGAAATTTCCAACTTGCAAAATCGGACCAATATAAACAATAACTTCCCACTGGAAAGTTAATAATAAAGTTGATTTTAAAACTTGGCTGGCTGAGCGACCTAGAGCTTCCTCATACTGTTAGCAGCAGTTAAGTTCCACGTCATACAGGTGGCTACAGATCGCGCTTTGCATTCTTTGGAGGAGGCCTATGTTCAGCAGTAGACTTTACAAGGTCAGTAGTGATGATGAGATTCACCAAGCGTAGCAACTATGGCAAATATTTGTATCGTAGGCAATCTATTGCGGAGGGCTTAATGCAGCAGTGGAATTCGATGGGGTGTAGTGAATGAATGGATGATGAATGTAATACAGAATAACTTACGAGATCAAATCTTCTTGCAACAGGATCGTATTTCGCTACAACTTCTTCAGGCATATCTATAAACTGATGGATAACCGCCAGCTCACCTCGCAGCTCTGTCCCCGCACTGTGGAGCACCTCCTGTTTATATTTATAAGTAACGTTATCCTGGGCACATTCCTCAAACAAATAATGAACATTTTTTTTATAACTCTAACCCAGTGCTTAATTACTATCCCACCTGATAGTAAGTGGTGATGCAACCGAGGATAGTAAAGCACACTGACTTAACAAAAGCGTGTTTACCCTTGCCTTGAAAACAACCATATTGTAATCGGATGGAAAGAGATGCCGGCAACTTACTCCACTCCTTTGTTGTGCGCATGACGAACAATGAAGCAAACTGTTTGTTTAGAACGCTTTGCAAGTCTACAACGAAAGGTTGGAGACTGGCCAAACGTCTGGTTATCCGGTGGTATAAGGGAGAAAGAAGAATTAAGTAATGTAATTCCTGAGCACAATCTCTGAAATGTATCCGGTAGAAAACCGAAATGGCTGGCTACTTTGTGCCTGCGTTCGAGACTGGTGAGACATCGTCAACACGAACAAAAGGGATGAAGTGGTCTAGATGTGATAGGTAGGATAATAAGTAAGCCGGTGACATCGAAAAAATATATTATAACTAAATAATTATTCAGTATGTTGAAATATTGAAAAGTTGTTTTTATTCCAGTATGTTCAATTGCTTTTCTTCTTTCTCTTCTTTGCAGATCTACGCTTCTGTTATATTATGGCTACACCAACACGACTGGAGAAGGACCACGCTTTCGCTAGCATTAAATAGCAGCAAATTGCTGCTCTGTCTTATGGTGAAGGTAGAGAACCAAATACCCTTTTAAATGGTAACGAGTTATTTCATCTTACTACTTTACTAGGTGGTAGGATTAGGTGGTAGAACTACTTTTACCGGGAACTAAAATCCTTCTTCTGCCCCGTAGTCCGTTTAGGAAGGTGCCACCTATTTCTGTCGCCAAATAGCAGTGCGCGAACCAAGGTGTTCAAGTCTGGAGGAGGTAGGGAGCCAGCATATTTACAGGATGTAAGGCATTTCGTAGCCTTCTTCTGTAGTACCTACACGTGGTAGAGTCACGCTGCAGCTATATTATGGTTGTAGCGTGAATGGGTGGACTCGGCCGGGAAAGGACCACGCTCTCATAGAATACCAAAGTAAAATAGCTGCTTAATACTGCTGTGTTTCATATGTTGAGTGTACCCTTTTTAACTGGACACGAGCGTTTTGATTCTTAATCGAGGATAAATGTAGATGTCTATGAGCCACAGCATCCACTTACCATCAGGTGGTGGTATGGTGTAAGTTCGTCGGTCACTGCTACTTTGTTTAAAAAAACTCAGGGGTAGTAATGCATCTGAATTTTGATTTTTAGTCGATGTCAGATCACTGTGTGCTAATTCGTAACTTTCTTTCTGGTAAATAAAGCATCCTAGATACATATCTGGCATACAGAAGATGGTGTAATTATCTTTGTCACTTACCAAAGCAGCTTTATATATACCAGTTCCAATAATCTCAGTACTCTCAAACATGTCCTCCCCAGGGCCTGATGCGAAGCAGCGTTCCCGAGCTTTGCACAACAGGAACTGGTTATCACATAGCTCCCCACTGAACTCACAGCGGGCATCTCCCGTATTAGGGGACACGTCTCCATGGTTCGAAGAGAAGAAACCAGCCACTATTTCCGGCTGAAAGAAACACGAATATCGTAAATGTAATAAATAAGCAAAATGTTTCTGCCTTGTTTAGACTAAGGAAGGACTCTTCAAGAGAACTTTACGAGGTAGATCCATACTACTTGTGGTTGTAGCACAGCTGGGTCGGCTCGACCGGGGAAGGATCACGCTCTCACTGATCAACGTAAAATAGCAGCTTAATGCTGCTGTGTTTCGTATATTGAATGAGAACCGGTGACCCTTTTTAATGGGAATGAGGCAACGAGGCATTTCCATCTTAGTTCTCAGGGGTGCCAACGCTTCTGATTTTTGATTATTAACCGAATATAAATGTAGATGTTTATGGGCCACAGTATTCACTTATCATCTGGTGGACTGTGCGTTCGTTTGTAAATCTCATTCTTTAAAAAAGTCTTTTGAAGACGACATGAGGAAGAGACTTGCGAATCCTGTAGGCAATATTTGAATAACACATTATACTTACTGCAGGCACGCGTGAGAGTCTCTCAGAAATGACGGAGAGCTGCCCATGCTTCGTGGTGGGAATACACTTTGATTTTATTTTTTTGATTTGATTTACATTTAAATAAAATGGGATAATCGCCAAGGTACTGGGGGAGAATACCACAAGCATTAAGTTCGCCTATATACTATACTTAAGCATAGTGGTGGTATAAGAATATTTACTACCCCATATCATTCCGTTGGTGTCGTAAAAAAGCGACTGAAGGTAACTGAAACAGAAAATTTAACGCGTTTTTTTGTGCCTTTGTGTGATTTTTTTTATATAAGTATAGTGTGTATTTTTATAAGTGTTGGAACCTGTGATTAGTGTGATTAGTTAAGTTTATTTTATTCCATTCTCTGGCGTTTACTGAAAATCAGTAGGTAGTTGTAGTTACCGATATGTGGTTTCTATAACATTTTTGCTGAGTAGACGCATTTTTAGTTCCATTCCATTAAATTATTCTGTTATGTTAATTTGTAATTTAATTTTAAAATATAATAAATAATATAATATAAAATAATGTTAATATGTAATTTGTTTTTAAATGGGCACCAGGAATCTTCTTGATATCAACTCAAAACTGCGTTTACAAAATCTTCCCATGAGGTAGTTTATGGGGGAGGTCAAAGTGTGGTTTTTAAATAAATGGTTCTTTCTTTCTTTCTTCTAAAAACCTTCTCAGTAATGAGAAAATGTATGTATAGCTTTTATTTATTTGTACACTGTTCTACCCAAAGGTACACTGGTAAAGAATACCTTAAGCGTAAGAGAACTACGTACCCTAATTTGTGTGTATGAAGAGTAAAGATATAAATATTAATGCCACACTTACCTTACCGGTCAAACTTGCCGGGTTCAATTCCCGCTCGAGCCGAAGAGCTGCGTAGCCCAAGTTGTCTGACGAGATGAGCCGATTGCTCATATTCATGCTGGTAGCATGTATAGGGAACCAGTTCAAGACGCCATGGATACTGCCGTCTTCCTTCACGATTCGAACTTGGGTAAGCGTGTTGTCGGTATTGGTGTCGTATCTACATATATACAAGGACTTATTCATTTTTATTGTTGTGATATTACAACATGATAACATAACATTTTGCTTATACGGTAACTATGGTAACTGACTATGTAAGTGAGAAAGATTTGTTCTTAACTGCAATCTCATCTGATGATAAGTGGTGATGTAGCCTATGATGGCGCACTGACTTAACAAAAGCCTATTCTCTCTTGCCTTGACACCCACAATGTAAACAGATCGAAAGACAGATGCTGCCAACTTATTCTACTCCTTTGCTGTACGCATGGCAAACGATGTAGCAAACCGTACAAGGTATTAGACGTTCCTAGCCTAACCATCTAGAACGTGGTAGAGCCACGCTGCAGTTATATTATGGTTGTAGTATGTAGTAGAAATAGTATGTAGTAGAAATAGGTGATACCTCCCCAGATGGACTTCAATTTTTTTTTAGAGTAAAGGTGACAAATGAACACTGAGTCCACCTGATGGTAAGTGAATGCTGTGGTCCATAGACATCTACATTTATCCTCGATTAAGAATCAAAACGCAGAGACGTGGAACGGAGACTTCTATCTGTCCTCAAGGTGACACCCCTGAGGACTAAGATAGAATGTCTCGTTTCCAGTAAAAAAAGGTCTCCGGATCTCTACACTCACCATAAGAAACACAGCAGTATTAAGCTGCTATTTTACGCTGGTATTTTGTGAGAGTGTGGTCCTTCCCCGGTCGAACCGACCCATTCGTGCTATAATCTTAATATAATAGCTGCAGCGTGGCTCTACCACGTATGAAATTGTATTGTATATTGGCTTATATTCAGCCTTGGACTTGTAAAGGGCTGTAAAGATGATGATGATCGAATACGTACCGTTCTCTTTCTTCCAACGGATTGTAATCGTAAGAGTACGGCGAGCGATTCTTGTGCACATTCCACACGCGCGTCTCGCCAAAGAACAGACGCGCTGGTACTATGTTCTCATGGGCGCGGATGATACTCTATAAAACCAAATATTTTTTATTGAATACTCTCGGATCTGGAAAACAACTCAAATACACACAAAAAAATTCATCAATTTCGTTCGAGTCGTTTTCGAGTTTGAGCAAGACTAACGGAGTACAATTTACTTTTATATATAAGAAGATAAATTATAAAAATTATTTATTGCTAGACACTTTTTCTAGAACAACGAATTTGCGAAAAAACTCTGTTGGGGAAGGACCTGCAAGAAAATCAGTAGGATCTTTTTTAAATATTTGAAAGCAAATGTCTTTTTTTTAAATATAGGATACGGGTGAGAAACGAGCACACAATCCACCTTTTTTATAGAATAATCCTTATTCTATAAAAAAGAAAAAAACATACAAGCACCTGTCATAAAGATCTACATTTTGGTGATTAAGAATCAAAATGCAGATGCCCCTAAGAATAATCCTTATTCTATAAAAAGTAAAGCAAACGAATACACAGTCCACCACCATAGATCTTCTAATATGCAGATGCTGCACCCTTAAGAATAATCCTTATTCTATAAAAAAAGATAAACAAACGAATACACAGTCCACCTGACGGTAAGTGGATGTTGTGGCTCATAAAGATCTACATTTATGGTCGATTAAGAATCAAAATGCAGATGCGTTGTCACCCTTAGGGTCTGAGATGCAATACCTCATTTACAGCATAAATGTTTGTTTCTACACTCTCCATATGATACATAGGAGCTACTTTTTCACCTAGCTATTTCACACTGTTATTCTGTGAGAGCGTGGTCCTTCCCCGGTCGAGCCAGCCATTTGTGCTACATCTATTTTTTAAACTAACTATACTGCAGCATGGTACTACCACGTTTTACATGTTATACGTGGTAGAGCCATGCTGCAGTAATATTAGTAGTATAGTTGTAGCACGAATGGGTCGGCTCGACCGGGGAAGGACCGCGCTCTCACAGAATACCAGCGTAAAATAGCAGCTTAATGTTGCTGTGTGTCGTATGGTGAGTGTAGAGAACCGGGGACCCTTTTACTTAAAACGAGGCATTCCATCTTAGTCATCACATTATTTATCATTTATCGATGTTTTATGCTCAAAGTTTAGTTTTATCAAAATTTTCCAAATTCACCGCCAAAATATATATGACTAAATTAAAGAATAGAATATTATGCTCTTTATAAAGAAGTATATTTTTCGGTTTTCAGCAATGTGAAATGAAAGAGTTAAGAAATAATTTTATTAGTATAAAATTAGCTATATATAAAATTGCTAGATAGCCTATACTATTCCTCATGAATCTTGTTAAGTATATACAAAAATAATGTTTCAAAGCCATGCGAGCATCACTGAGTGAGTTTTATCTTTGATAGCTCTTGTCGCTCCGACAAATTAGTGGAGAGAAAGAGACAGCGATCACCTATTAATATCTCTTTTATTAACACAGAATTTATATCTATCGTTCGTTTCTGGAGCGAGAAAATAGTCATTAACTAATCGGTTCCTCATCGGCGGTGGGATAAGTGCCTGAAGATGAGCCTGACGAAAATCATTAATCGTAAAACCGTGCAAAGTTATATTTTATTAAAAATCTGACATACCACATTTCAATTGTAAATCTGCAGAGTGACATCAAATGTATGATGACAGCCAAGTCTTCCAAAAAAATCCAAAATTAATAATTTTAACTCACTCTAGTTATTCCAGCGACATAGGCATCGTAAGTTTGTTTGGAGAAACCGAGTATGCTGATGTCCAGTAGAAAGTCCACAAGATGTCCACCGGGGCCGCTGTGCGTGTGAGTTCCCGTCACTATCACGTTGCGAAGAGAGTAAATGTTCCCGTATAGCTCCTGCAGGTTCTTAACCACCTGAGGATTAAGAAAGGAATTCGAAAAAATTAAAACGAAGCTGTAACGACGGTCTAAATATGTATGAAGTTTAGTTTAATGGTGTATGAAGTTTAAATAAATAAATAAAAATATTGATGAAGGAAGCTGAATGTAAAGTAGTAACTTAGTTAGTTAGTTGGAGTAAAAAATAAAATCTTGTTCGGTTTTAATGATGAAATATCGGATTCCCAAGTTAGAATGACATTCATTTTTTTTTATAAACTTGAGGAGAAAAACGAACTCTAACTCTAATTTTTTAAATACGTTACCTCCACACTAGGATTTTCGTGGGGGCAGTTTACATACATAAATTTCACAAGGACGAACATCCAAACGCGGAACGAATATTTGAAAGCCATACAAATACTTGTACCGTGCGAGATTCGAACCCGCGGCCCTTAGCGCTGTTACTTATTGCTAATTCACTGCGCCACGGACCAGTCGCATTTACAGTCCTGATGGTAAGTGGACACCTGCACCAACTTCAAATAAACAACGGTACAGATGTGTCACCTCTGCGGACTAGCACGGAGTATATCATAGCCTGTAATTATACTGGTTCTCTATAACCTTCACACCTAAATTCAGCAGTGCATGCACAGCCTGGCGGCAGAAATAGTCAAGATGGTACCTACACAGATTCATTAAATAAATGTTCAAAATTCATTACAAAAAAAATGAATCTCTTGGAGGTGAAGAAGTCCTAACACCTAGGAAATATAAAGTACTACCATCTGGAGACGGCGAAGCTGGCCTTGCTCTTTTTAACCGAGACTCAGGTGTCTTCTCCAGCTGATACTTCATATCTCTCCTACTCGGGGTACAAATTAGAACATTCCTTTGTGCCCCGGGCTTGAGTTTGCGTATACGTCAGAGAGGACATCTATTTTCGAAGCCTCAGCAGTCCTTGAAGGTATGGACCTGTTCATCCCATGGCTGCGCGTAGGCAGCGAAGACTATCACGGCGTCTACGGGTGCCTCTATAGTTCCCATAACGGTAATACCGAAACAGAACAACTCATCGACCACGTCCAAATGGCTACAGATTCCTAGCACCTACAGCATTTACAGCATCTACAGCTGATCCCATCCGCAGAGATCGTGATCCTTGGCGATTTTACCGCCCACCACACCTAATGTCTCGTTTCACTTTTAACCGATCATACGGGGAGATCTGTTTATGACTTTGCTTTGGCATATGGTCTGACACAACTGGTTACTGCGCTTACGCGGATTCTAGATGTGGAAAATCATACACCTTCTCTGTTGGTCTTCTGCTGACCTCTCATCCGGACGCATATCAGGTATCCGTCGATGCCCCTTTAGGCTCGTCGGACCATTGTCTTGTCCGGAGTGTGGTGCCAGTCACATTAACGTCGCGGTTGCATTCTGCAGGCTGCCGCCGTGTCTTAGTTTTAGTCTAGTCTTTTTTTGCATCCTACCCTTGGGGACGGGTTTGCTTCTCACCGGACGATCCTAGCGTTGTTGATGATTCTGTCGTTGATATGGTACTTCAGGGTATGGAACTTTTTATTTCGTCCTCTGTGGTGCCCATCGGAGGCAGATCCCAGCCATGGCTTGGTCACTCCTACAAAATAGTATCACGCTATAAGCAGGAGTGCTACCGGGTCTGAGCTGACGATCAACGTCTCTGGATGTTGGATGGATCAGCACTTAAAAAGTAGTATCATTCCGCCTCCAGGTCCTTCGAAAGAGTCATTGCCAAGGCAAGGTCTGAGCACATCGGCAGAATTGGCGAGAATCTAGTTCGCCTTCCTTCGGGAACCCGTCCATTCTGGTCTCTAACCAAGCCTGTCCGTCCTGGTAATTTCTGTCAGTCATCTCTTCCATCTCTGCACAGAGAGGACTACTCACTGGCCCATGCCGCAAAGGAGAAAGTCGATCTGTTAGGCTCTCTCTTTGCGTCCAACTCGTGTTTCGATGACGGGGGGAACACACCTCCGACTATCCCGCAGTGTGAATGCTAGATGTTGGGTATGCGGTTTACACAGCGCTCGGTTTGTAAAGCACTCAGGGAGAACCTGGACGTCAGCAAGTCGAGTGGGCCTGATGGAGTCCCTCCCATTGTGCTGTAGACTGTGCTCCGGAGTCGGCACCGATTTTAACGCGTCTTTTCCGCTACTTCTACTCCCAAGACAACTTTGGTCCACCCAATCCCTAAAAAAGGCGACCGCTTAGACCCGTCCAACTACAGGCCTATCGCAATCACCTCCTTGTTCTCCAAAATAATGGAGTCTATTGTAAACTGCCAGCTCATGAGGTACCTTGAGGATCACCAGCTGATCAGTGACCGCCAATAGAATTTCCGTCGTGATCGATTAGCTGTTGATCTTCTGGTCTACCTTAGTCATAGATGGGCGGAGGCAGTAGACTCCAAGGGGGAGACATTAGCCGATAGTTTGGACATAGCGAAGGCCTTCGATTGGGTTTGGCACAAAGCGCTTCTTTCGAAGCTCCCTTCCTATGGGCTTCCCGAGAAATTTTGCGATCGAATCACTAGTTTTCTTGCTAATCGGAGCATCAAGGTCGTAGTAAACGGTGGATGCCCTGATTACAAGCCTATTAATGCTGGGTTTCCACAAGGCAGGGTGCTATCACCAACGCTGTTTCTTCTGCATATCAATGATATGTTGGAAACTAGTAACGTTCATTGCTATGTAGACGACTGCACTGGTGATGCCTTATTCACCGTCCGTGCCAACATTTCTCGGGAAATCGTACCGGTGAAAACTTGTTTCTGAAGTTGAGTCTTTGCTTAACAAAGTCTCGGATTTGGGGAGACTAAATCTCGTCCAATTCAATCTCCAAAAGACACAAGTCTGCGCGTCAACCGCTAAAAAGAACCCCTTTGTCGTATCTCCTCAGTTTGAAGGCACTCCCCTTGCTGCCTCAGCTAGCATCGGAATTCTCGGCGTTGACATATCGAATAGTGTGCAGTTTTGTGGACGCCTGGAGGGGAAGGCCGAATTGGTCTCTAAAAAGCTTAGCGTGCTCAACAGAGCGAGATAGTATTTCATGCCGGCACATCGCTTGCAACTTTACAAAGCGCAAGTTGGGCCTCACGTGGAATACTGTTCTCATCTTTGGACCGAGGCACCCCAGTGTCAGCTCCTCCCACTTGACCGCATCCTGTACAGAGCGATTGGAATCGTCGACGACCGAATTTTTTCTGATCGGCTTGATTCACGTGCGCTGCGTAGGGACGTTGCATCCCTTTGCGTTTTCTATCGTATCTAGAATGGGGAGTGTTCTGAAGAATTGTTCGGATTAGTTCCAGCCGCCAAATTTCACGAACGCACATCGCCATCCTCACCATCTGGATGCTTGGCGGTCCACCGCTGTGCGTTTTACTAGGAGTTTTCTTCCTCGTACAACTTTTCGATGGAATTGTTTACCACCAGCGGCTTTTCTGGACCGATACGACTTAGGGACCTTCAAGAAAAGAGCTTACCTCCCTTCTAAAAGGCTGGTAACGCATCTACAATTCCCCTGGTGTTGCGGTTGTTCATGGGCGGCGGTAGTCACTTACCATCAGGTGACCCGCACGCTCCTTTGCCCCCTCTTCTATAAATAAAAATAAAGACATTGCAAGAACGCATGTCTAATAAGTTCAATTATAATTCTTAAAAAAATTCCTCTTTTCTTGTTTAGCCCATATTTAACCGTGTAGTGCGGTGTATAATATCCACTACTCCATATCGTCTTGTTGGTGTCGTAAAAGTCAATAGAGAGAAACAAATCAAGGGTAGCAGCGTTTTCCTAACAACGAATAAAAAACACAGCGATTACCAACCCTTTGCCAAGCGTGGCAACTATGACAAATATCTCCCCTATGAGGGAAGCCTGCGTTTAACAGAATTTAATAGACTGTAACATTAACATAATGGCCTAGCTTTTTTACAAAAAATATTCATGTATTTATGATGATAAAACTCTTACGACATTAAGGGAGCAAAATTTTTTATTTTAAATTATTCAGACGTTCAGAACTGATTAAAAATGAATAATAAATTCTTATCACATATACTAACTAAAAACTAATCGAATTAAAAATACAAATAAACTAACAATTTTTTTTAAATTTCATAAGAGCAAAGCATGTTTGATAAAAGCATCAACAATTCTAATTCGTTGGCAATTAAAAAGTTAAATTTAAACGGGATAAAATTCGTAAAATTATTTACATTTAAAGTGTGAACAAATTAATATTGGTCGAAAACAAATCAACATAAATAGAAAAACAGTTTCACCTCTCTTCTAACAGCAATGCCCACTGCTTGGACATCCGCCGTAACAAGAACTACTCTAGTGTCGCCCTTTACAAAGATAAACGCCCTGGAGTACTGACGGAGGTGAATTCCACTCCCGGATTGGCCAAAATCTGCATAGCCCATCTGAAAAGGGAAAGTAAAGGATGACGATGATGTTATTTTTCATGATACTTAGGACCACACAGACCAGCTGGATGACAAGTGGACGCTGTGGCCAATCTATCCTTGATTGAGAACAAAGACAGATATATTTTTTTGACCCATTAGTACTGCAGCCGTATATTGTGTGGCTTATCACGTAATGAATATTCTCTTAGTTGAATTTTACCATAATTACAACTTTACTGCTGTCGTGTCCCGCGGTGGTGCACAAACTAACCAAATCTATGTAGGATTTCGCGCCTAACTATTAAAAACCCGCCAAATCGTAAAGCTTATTTATAATGCGTAATGCGCGAGCGCGACGTAACGTCAAATTACAATAAATAACGCCAGTTTTAACAAGCTCACAGATTCTTTTGTGTTGTGGAATAAAAGAAAGTATGTTTGTTTAAATATTTAAATAAAATTGTTGGAGGAAAAAAATATAAAAAAAACACAGCAACCCAGCGTCTAAAAATTAGAAACCGACAAACAAGAAACCCAAAATACAGACACAAAAAAAAAAATAGAAACCCAAAACCCCAAAAAAAAAAAAAACGAAACATTAAACTACTATTTCACGCTGGTATTCTGTGAGAGCGTGGTCCTTCCCCGGTTGAGCCGACCCATTCATGCTACAGCTATACTACTAATATAACTGCAGCATGGCTACTATCATGTAGGTATAGAACCACCAGTATCAATATGACCTATTTAATAAAAAAAGTCATTAAAATCTATTCACAATCAGGGCTCCACTACTTTTTCTGCTACCAAAGCGGCGCCAGTTTGAAATGAGGTATTTGAAATATTTTATAACATGGGAAGCGGGGGGGGGTGGGGTGATTAGGGGGAGCAATTAATATTATTTATAAAATATTATTTATATTTTATACTAGATTAGAAATGGAAAAACCAAACTATGGTTATCACTAAAAGTAAGAGAATTAAAAAAAGTTTTGTGCACATAAATACAAGAGAAACCGGAAAAACTTTTATTTAATACTTAACTTTTAATGACTCACCATCCGCATAACAAAATAAGCTCATGATTATAACTACTTTTATATATAAATAAGCTCACTTTAGTCCCGTTCCGACTAACGACAACTGGTGAGCATAAAATTTTTTGACTAAAATATCGCATAACATGCATATACGAGTATACGAAACAGCGTACATACAAAAAAGGAACAAACAGTTTAGAATTTCCTATTTTTATAAGTTGGCTGCAAAAACATGCATTAACTGTGCGCGTTTGTCTAAACCACTTACAAAATTAATTTCAACGCAAGGTCCCGTCATATCGGCTATACCGACACCTACTTCATAATTGGCGCCCACGACAGCAATCGTGGCTACAAAAATCACGATTTTTCCAGTCGTCGAAATCGCCATTGTCTGTAACAAATGAAATATAATATTAATATAATAATATTAATAAAAAAAATCATGTATACAGTTTACACACAGTAGAAGTGAAACCTTCAAACAAAATGAAATAATAATATTTTCGTAATTTCGATATGTAGACTGTAGACCGAGTACCTTGCAACAGCTAGACAACCTGGACAGCCACAAAACGTTAATGTTGGCAATCAATCCATAAAAAGCGTGAGCAGCTTCAAATATCTTGGAGCAACGATTACCTCCCAGAATAGATCTGACGAGGAGATTAAGGCACGGATAGTTGCTGGGCACAAATGCTATTTATTACGCGTGTGCCAAACTCCTGGGTTCTAAGCTGCTTAGTGTGAAATCGAAACGAACCATCTACTACACCATCATTAGGCCTGTTGTGACTTACGCCTGTGAAACCTGGACTTTAACACCGAGAGACGAACTGAAGTTTGCCGTATTCGAAAGGAAAGTGCTGAGAAAAATCTATTGCCCCGTATCTATCGTCAACAAATGAACCATGAGCTGGACGCACTTATCGGGAACAAGAACATCAGGCAGGTTCTTTAAGTCGCAGCGACTGAGGTGGGCGGGTCACCTTGAAAGAATGCCGGACACAAGAGCCGTAAAAATAATGACAAAGTGGACGCCGCAACAAAAGAGCCGAGAAGCAGGCCTAAAAAGCGTTGGAGTGACTGTGTGGAAGAAGATCTCAGGAAGATGGGAAAGTCTACCAGCTGGAAAAATGTAGCCAGGCAGCGTGACAACTGGAGGAAGATTGTGGAGGAGGCCAAGACCCACAAAGGGTAGCGGTAAGATAAGGTAAGGTAGGTGTAGCGCTAACGGAATCAATCAATCGAATCAATTTCGATATGTTTGTCTCTTTTTAGTGTAGCTTTCTTTTTATTGAATTTCAAATGACAAAGATTCCAAAGAAGTTATTTTCACTTCACAAAGCAAAAGTTAAGCTACAGCCGATATACGTCCCACTGGTGGACACAGACAATAGTGTCGATACAGCTCGATTTTTCGAATTTATTTCAGTTATACCAGCAGTGGGGAAATATGGCTGATTTAGAAACTATTTTAGTTTTTGCCGAAGTGGGCCACGAGAGCCATTTGCAATCTAAAACCGAGAGAGTCCCCAAGAGGAAAATTAGAAAGAAATAAATATAGTCGTCCCCTCATAATATCTGGAAGTAGTTTTTCCTAACTACTCAGACACGCGAGCTTCCTTTCGATCTTTCTCTTCACCGCCGAGCACGTAGTAAACCAGCGCTGAAAATTGCAATTTATAATTTCGTTAGTGCCGGCGGTTATTGAACCTGGTTTGCACGAGCACTGCAAATTTATTATTTTTTCTAAACTAGCTATCCGCCTTGGATTTGCACGGGCGATTTTCTAAATCTCGACAACAGCGCCACCTACCAAGACCAAATGTGAATTTAAACCAACCAGGGACCCTCTCAAATTCATACAAAAATTCATCAAAATTGGTTCAATCGTTCCAAATCATTCTTTCTATAGCCCTATACACTTTTTGAAAGGTAGGTACGTTACGCCAATTATTTTATCTATGGGTTCATTTATATCTTGCTACGTCAAAGTTTTAATAACCATTTACATTAAAATCTGGCGTCACTTTATGCAAATTTATAATATTGCAGATGTGAATATTAAATAACTAAAATCCGTGTGAAAAATAAAATGAAATATAGTGCCTAGTTTGAAGAGCGTCTCCCACAATTTTATTGGAGACAGAGGTGTGAGAAGACTTAAGAAAATAATAAGAATCGAAATGCAAATGCGTTGTCACCCTAAGGAATAAGGTGAAATGCTTCGTTACCAGTAAATAGAGTCTCCAGTTCTTTGCACTCACCACACGAAACACGCTACCACTATGCTCCTATTGTACACGTTCCAAAGTTTACCAGTCTATGCGAATGTGATCGTTCCCCGGTCGAGCTGACCCATTCGTGCTACAGCTATAAGCCGAGACGACACTATACCACGTCCATATAATAAAATAAAAGTAGTCTAAATTACTCCTTATAACATCAGCTATCTGCCAGTGAAGTCCCGTCAAGATAGGTCCAGCTGTTTCGGAGATTAGCCGGAACAGACAGGAAGACAAAAATAAAAATGTTATGTTTTTTTTTGTTATAAGTGCCTTAAATAATTACATATACATTTTGTAAAACCCGTAATGTTGTCATTACAAACAGACACTTCAATTTTATTTATTAGTATAGATATAAGTAGGTACTTGTGATTATTGTCACTTGCTAAAACTCCATCTACATTTGTGATTTAGATTGACATTGAACTCAATTATATATTAATTAAACTAAATCCAAATAATTAATGGCTTACCGTTATAAGGACTTGGGCGCTCAAAAATATTTAAAAAAACAACAATAATATGAAACTATTCTGACATGATTAAAAGTGACGATTATTTAAGCATACCACCTGTACGTAGGAACCACCACAAATCAGTGAATCTAAATCAAAGTACTTAATAGATTTTTTTTAATTAGAGTTATTTACCTAATCTTATCGAAATATTCACTTGTGTTGCCGTGGTCAATTATCCGATAGATATCTATTTCATTGATATAATAATTTTGATATCCGAAAAAAAATACGACAAGCTTTTGCGCTTAAGTAAACTCTAGATACATCACAAGTGACATAAAAACTTTTTAACAAAAGAAAAACTTTTTAACAAAAAAATTAAACACCTAAGTATATATTTTTGTAATTATTTTGAGTTTTAATTAACCTTAATAACTAAGTTCTTAAACTAATGTAAGTATACCTAAGTAATTTTGAGTGCTAGGAATATACCCCATCTAATAAAAAAAGAATTATCAAAATCGGACAACTCTAATAAATCACCCCTATTTTACCACCCTTAAGGTAAATTTTTTTTTTTCAAAATCTATATGAGTCCAATATCGAGGTACTTTGTTTTTACTGTACTATAATAGAGAAAGTTATAAATACTGGTTCAACTATGTAATGTCTTCAATCTTCTCGTGGTCCTAATTCGGCAATGGACCAATTGACGGATTCTTCATTGCACACCCTAACAGTGATCAACCAATTACTGGCCCCCTTTCCTATGTCACAACCCGTTGGGTTCGGGAAGCAATGCGGTAGACGAGACCCCTGATAAGACGTTCAACTCAGAACCTTAACCACTCTCTCAAAAGAAAGTGGTTGACGACTGAGATTACAGGCCCCAGTGAATGGTCTAGATGTCAGACATGAATTTAGTGGACTGTATATCTTCTTGTTCCCTACTTATAGGGTGGACACTGGAGAAATAAAACACCAATTCCTCGTAACACGTACGCACGTGCACGTTACACGTAAACAACTGTCCCTTGGAAATGTAATATTGAAGCTTTACAACTTTTACTACTTTTTACTTTACTTTTCCTAAACCGTTTTTCTCTCTTGATTTATTACTGCAGTTTTCCCAAACCCGAACAAATTGCAGCTCGGTGTTGTCTTCTGCAAAGGCTTCTTAGGCCCTGCAGGTCTCGGGCCTCGGGGTATGCCCCCATTGCCCGGATTTTCTAAGCTTCCATCCTCTTCACAATCCACAGAGGACGCAGTAACTGCATTAAGTCAAATTGTAACAATTTAAAAAGTTTACAAAGTTACTACGTTATGCCTTTTGAAACGTATAACGTATTTAGTCCCTAGTATATATTCAGTAATCTATGGTATTTATTTATAAGAAATTCGTGAATCACGCTTGGCGCTTTAAATTATACCATATCTAAAATTCCACGGATAAGGAGCGAGCCCAGATATTATTCAATAGTTTGAATAACAGGAGTTATCGATAATGAACACTATAATAAGATTATTCATTATCTTAATCTATTTAATGAATGATGTTATCTGTTGTTTACGAAAATGAACGGATGTATAAATAATTTTTTATTTTAGTATATAATGACAAACAAATTTAGTCTAACTGACTTTATGTGGTTACTATTGGGGACCTGAAATCGATATCAAAAGAATTTTTTTTATAGGATGAGGGTGACAAAGGAGCACACAGTCCTTCTGATGGTAAGTAGGCGCTGTGGCCTATAGACATCTACATCCATCCCCGAGGACTAAAATGATAGAATATGTACCTCTAGTAAAAAAGGTAAAAAGGGCATTTGCTTTTCTACGCTAGTATTCTATGAGAGCATGGACCTTTCCAGGTATTTTTTTTAAATATTAGTAATCCTATTAATTAACATTACTAACATTCCATTTAACCACTCCTGGTAAGCTGAAAATGTTTGTGTTAGGAGTGGTTCACGACATTAGTCGAATGGTGGATTCGAACCCACGACCTTTTAAGTTCGTGGTCCGCGCCCTGCCACTAGGCTACTGTCGCTTCAATACCTGCAGCATGGCTATACCACGCTTATTCCCTTTTTTGTTTAGGTTACAGATAATCAATGACTTCTTTACGGAACTAATATTGCTATTTTTCGAGTCTAAACTCGGCTTCTAAACAGTGGCGGCCCTAGGAAAATTTTTAAGTGGTGCGAGATATCATAGTGGCGCCCCTCTAAAAAAAACCTTAGTGTTCCTATACTATGCAGTTGGTTTATCGTGATTTTAAATAGTATTAGACCTATCAAATATCTACAAGTGTATGTATATGCGGGGCAGTTGTGTCTGTCGCTCTTGCCATAGCAGTTGTTCTGCTTATTTGCGTTAAAGAAATATTGTTCATTCCGCTCGCACTACTCTGTTGCGCTCGACAACGCCACTATGCTTGCCTTGCTGCGGTGACTACAGATTATTTTTCATAATAAGAGTTAATTCTTCATATTCTTGTTAAATCTTGTTTGACAACTTTTATTTAAACTGTTGTTCCGCAGACAGTGTTAAAAAAATAAAAGAACTACCCACAACAAACTTGATGAAAAGCCTACATGGCCAGCTTTCTGGCTTATGCGCTTGCAATTTTTTTTTTT